CTAATTCATTCAGGGAAGTATTTTTGCTTAGTGCCTCGGTCAGTGCTTTTCCTGTTGATTCTTTTAATCCGATATTCTGTAGAATTAAAGTAGTTAAAGTGGCATTCCTGCATAAACCTACAATCAACCCTTTGACTACATTATTGTGCAGTACTTCATCATCTATTTTTAACTCAGTTACGGTAGTATTTCCACACAAATAATCAGCTAACACTTCACCATCACTTCTTAACACACTTTTGCTTGAGTAAGTTATCGGTATCTCTACTATTGTAATGGAAATACAGATCAGGTTTGATCGCATTAAAGTGTATTTAAAAACATTTTTACATACCATTATTTCTGCTCAAATTTGTCTCTTAATATTTTGAAACAATGTAAAAGAAGTTGAGTTAACTTATATAATTAATAATTGAACGAATAAACCAATTTAAATGTAAAACATATACCGTAATATGTAGTTGTTTCGTTGTGATCATTCAATTTTCTACGTTTTGTTTGACCTGTAATATATAATATCATAGGATACATATAAGTTTAATAACAAATATTTATTTAGAAATTGAATTAAACCTACCGTTTTTTTTACCTAGTAAGAAATCAGTAGTGTGCTTTAATGAAATCGATGTATTTTTACTACAATCGATGCTTTTTATAAGTTCAGAACTGGTAATATATTGGATTGGTAAACTTTGCAAAATGTTCACTCCCGTATTTTCCATAATATCAAAAGAATATTTAGCATACGAATCTAAAAAAAAACATTATAAGAAACCGTAAATTAATTAAAGATAGCTTTGATTATAAAAAAGATTAATGATTACCTAAAGATGATTCTTCGCTTGTAAATAAATTCAAAGTAGAACTTGTGGTTTCTATGATAGAATCTAATGACTGACTAAAATATTTACGTGGAGGATGCTTAATTATTTGTTCCTCTACAGATTTTTTGGATTTTATTTCTCGTAATTTTTTTTCAGCATCGTAGAATTCTCCACTAAATTCCCATTCTGAAGAATTAATTTCTTCATGTATTTCTCCAATTGAAGGTCTCTGTAAAGGATCTTTGCGCCAGCACTTTTCCATCAAATCAGCCCACAATTTTGGCGTATCATTCGTAATTTCAGGGCGTTTTCCCTTACATATATTTAACGCAAGGTCAATATCATATGCGCGATCATAAAAAGGTCGATTTCCTGTTGTTAATTCCCACATTATCATGCCTAAGCTATATATATCAGAACCAAATGAGAATTTTTTCTTATTAAATATCTCAGGCGCGATATACGGCATAATTCCGTATGTACTTGATCCTGGATCCTTACTTGCGGGTCGACTAAATCCTAAATCAGCAATGAATGAATCATTACTTTCATTTACTAATATATTTCCACTATGCAAGTCACGGTGTATTATATTATTTTGGTGAATCCATTTAATTCCAATAACGGTATTTCTTAGGAAATTTACTTTTGATCTTTTGCTTTTCCCCCAGTCCGTCCACTTGATATCATTAAAATTCTTGGACAAATACTCATGCAAACTTCCTTGTTTCATATGAGACATAACAAATATATAATTTTTTGTTACTGGATCTTGCGATACTCCATAATATTGAATAATATGACGCTTATAAGAGTTAGGCAGAGTTTCAGTAATATTACGTAACTACAGTAAGTATTAGCATATTTTAGTAATCTACTTACTACTGTAATTGCAGTAAACAAAAACTTGTGCTTTACCTCCTTTATAAATGCAGAATTTATATTTTGAGAATCCTTAAGGATTTTTAATACAACTGTTTCAGGACCTGCCCGATTAAAATCCCTATTATCATAATAGCTCGTAATTTTTCCCTTTTCCCATAAAGCGGTAAATATCATACTAAATCCGCCTTCAGCAATATTCCCGACATTTTTAAAATCTTCATATGGAATCCACTCTAACCTAAATTGAACCATATTTTTATGTGTTGCTTTAATTAAATTGTCAATATCCAAGTTCCCGCTATTAACATGTAGAAGTCGTGCAGAATAACAACCAGTACAAAGGTTTCCATTATCATATTTAAGGACCTTTTTTTTATTACACACAGGACATTTGCCATGCTTTTTCTGAAAATTTTGCGAATCTATGTTCATGGTTTTTTTAATAGGCGCTTAAGAATATCGAGTAAACGAATAAAAAAATATATTAAATAATTAACCTTTTCGTT